TAATTGGTGTGATGTGCTGCTAGAATAGCTGAAAATATTTTCGTATCTACATTGATCAGTGAAATAGAATGGCAACCAACTAAATCCGACAGGACCTTGCCCTGTTTTAAAATTGGAATAATGTTGGCTTTCAACATCTCAGCAGGGAAAGAACCCAACATAGATTAGAGAATGGTACAAGACAAGGCTGTCCTCTGTCTCCTATTTAGTACATTTTATCTAAAGAGCCTTTTGCAAAGAAAATTCCCAGATTTTACTATTAACATGATGTAAAGTCTTGATTTTATTAATAACATGGAGGAGAGTATGATACTGCACTCTTTCTTTACATCCCTCAGCCGCAAAGAAATAACAAATAAAAAAATCAATAGAAAATAAGCATGAACATTACAAGCACAATATTCGCCTAGTAACACAGTCAGCCAATGAGCTACAGAATCCAGCATGATCTTGTAAGTTAGGTCACAATTGAAGAAATAAGAGGAGTATGGTAATATTGTGTGACCATGAGAAGTTACCAATGACAACCTCACAGTTTACTTAAACATAATAATATTACAGTATTATATCTAAAAACTCAGAGACTTATTGTCCAAGGACAGGCAACTAGAGAAGTAAATAAAAAGGTGAGAAACTGCCTAAGGGGCGGGAGGGTGGGATAATACTTGCCTGCGTGTCATTAATAAAATTATGATTTTATGTCATGTTAATAGTAAAATCTAGGAATTTTATTAAAGACACAGAGGCTCATATCATGCTAGTTTAAAGCGGTGCAATCACTGCAAAATGGTGGATAGGTTGAAAGTGAAAATCACAGTAGACTCAATCAGCCGCTTTCAAAATATTTTTTATATGACAACAAACCAAAGAGGCCTTAGATGCCATAGCACCACGAACTGAATGTGGAGATAAAAGAGAAACATCAATACATAAGCCATTTGACCCAACAAGAGAAGGTAGAAGATGATACTGGGGATTCATAGACACGCAACAGAACAAAGTTGCAGTTTTGTATGGAAAAATCAGGTACTAGACTGAATGGGAGGTAGATTTAGTGCTGTGCGAAATATCGGGAAAAAAAATGAGTGAGCTTCGTCATCATGTGCCCTGACATGAAACTGTCTTGCAAGAGATCAAATATAACAGCATAACTAGCTTGGCGGAAAGTTGTTTAAGGGATTAAGACACATTATCCTGCAAATCAATAAGAAATCTTAGCACAAAAGAGACAACCAAAGGGGGATTCACATTAACCAGAATGCCCAACTGACGATGAAGATGGAGAAGGCGTTGTGGGATGAGTGCAAATGCAGGAAATGCATAATTCATGGCAACGGCAATTCTCGAGAAAACACATTAGTTGTCAAAGCTGTAGGATCCGGTCTCCAGCTGAAAAACTTTGGTACCTGAGTATTCAAGTGAGATACAAACATGTCTGTCTCCAAAGGACCCCAGAGATCCCAAATGCAATAAAAAAACGAGACTCCAATCGCTAGAATTTCGTAGATGGCAGGAATATCAATCCACTGTAGTATTGGGTAGTCCTGGGATATATTAGGCCTGACCGCAATATTGTTTTAAAAACAAAACTGCCAAAAATCTTGTGCTATCTTTGGACTTTGTGTCTCCTGGATGATTACTGTAACTGATAGCTGAGTCATTGTCCATCTTCATTAACATAGTGCACTGGGATTGTGTTGGAGACAAGCTGCGAATTGCCCCCCAGCCATATGAACTGTCGGAATCGATTACTACATCTGAAGCCATGCTGAAAAAGGCTCAGCCATTCCACGCCTCCATGTGGAGGAGCCACCAGTGGAGCGCTTCTTTTGTCTTTGCATCCTGCATCACAAGGTCTCCGTATGATGCGTTACCCCTCAGGTACAATGCCTACAGACACTGTAGGGCTCTGTAGTGAAGAGGACCCAGAAATATGGCTTGTATGGAGGCAGCCAGGAGTCCAATAACACAGGCTAAGTGTTGGGCGGGCTGAGAGAAAGTTGTGACGTAGTCAGCATGCATCATATCTCCTATTTGATGTTCATTAATTTTGCCACTGAGAGGTGTAGAGTCTGTTGAGTGGAGTCCACAATAAGACCGAGAAATTTGATCCGTTCAGTGGGAATGAGAATTAACTTTTCCCAATTTATGAGGAAACCCAGATTCTGCAGCAAGGTCATGGTGCAATCGAGATGAGTATGAAGCAGGGGATCCAACTGGGATAGAATTAGGATATCTAATTCTAGATATAGTCTAGATAAATTATAGGGATGTACCCCATGACTGTGAAGGAGAGTGATTGCTGGCTTCATGAGCTTGGTAAAGCACCAATGAGCTGAAGACATGCCGAATGAAACTGTAGGAAGTCCTTAAGAAACGTCTGTTATGGGCACCATGAGATCGGTATCTCGCAGGTCTAGCTTGGTCATCCAATCTGACTTCTGAAGCAAATCTCTCAGGCAGCGAATGTATTCCATTTGGAAGTGATATGTCACATAAGCATTGAGCTGTTTCAAGTTGATCACTGGGTGGACTAAAACCAAGTTCCTTGGAATCAGAAACAAATTGCTCATAAAACCTGGAGTGTGCATTAGGATCTTGAATATGGCTCCAACTCTTGTATCTCCTCGGAGACGAGGGTCATTCTTGTAGGGGAAAAAACAATCTCCCTGGGGGGACAACATCAGATAAACATTGAAAACTCTGAGTACCCAAGCATCTGAAGTAATAAGGGACCAAACTATTAACTCGGCTGGTTAGACGGCTCCTTGCTCTTCCACCCCCAGCATAAACCTTGGGTCATATTGGCCTGTGCTTTGACAAAGGCCTTGAAAGTTTGCACGTAAGACCCTAAGTCCTTAAAAAAGGAGACCCCGAACAGAAAGCCTTTAGACTGAGTGCTCAACTCTGTGATTGCCAGGTTAACAAGTTCCGGTTCGATTTTTAATAAAATCGATTTGCGTGCCGTCTGGTCCAAAGCCAAAGATTATTTCATTGCCCCAAAGGTCGCTGGGCCCAAGATATCTAACATTTTATCATGGCAATTGTGCAAGTAAGAATCCAAGCCCTTGGACTTCCACACTTTGTTACCCAGAAACTGAATGATGTTTGAATCGACTAGGGGTGTCTTATACATATTGTCAACGAAGGTACCAGTCACAACAGTAAAGCAAACATCACAATAATAGAGATCCCACAATTAGGAACCATGGGACCAGGTTCTACCTAACTGAGGGAGCGGCAAAAAAGAGAAAGTGGTTACCCAAGTGCTGCCTGTTATAGGATAAGAAGGTATCTGATTGGTCGTGTTATAGACGAATATTATGATTGTAATGTTCATGCTTGTTTTATTTATTTCTTTGCTGCTGAGGGAAATAAATAAAGAGTGCAGCATAATATTACCCTTCGTGTCTTTAATAAAATCGGAAATAATGAAGTAATTCAGAGATAAAAAGCTATCCACTTCCTGAGGAGGGGGCTAACGTCTTCATTTTAGTAAAGGCCCCAGTTATGCCTTTAGTAGCAGAAGTGAAAGAGATTAAAAATTTTAGTTTTGTATCGAAATACAAGCTACAGAAAATGAAAATGGTGGCACAATTTATTAAGGTTGAAGTATCAATTAAATACGGGATATGGAGGATAGTGGTTTTCTGCTGGTACATATATTGCACTTTATATTGCTGTATTACACTATTGTACTTTCTATTTTTGCAGATCTATAGCTGTATTCTCTCTCTATTTTTTTGGTTATATTCTCTAATAAGTGTCTAGTGTCTACAAAAATACTCCTGTCTGTCTCATTAGAGATTTTGCCTTCTAGTTGCAGACAGCAAGGTGAATTGATAGTGTAGGATACTACTATAAAACTTCCAGTTATTTATACCCATTGCCTTATGGCGACCAAGCTTCTGATTGCAAAAGCATGGAAATCCCAAATATACACCAATTAAAGAGTCAAATTTTGAACCAATTGGAGATGGAAAAGGGAGCAATCTGGTATAATGTTTATAATAAAAAAAAATATACTAGGAGAGTTATATGCTACCCTTATAGCACATATAAATCATATAGAAGGATAAAAATAATAAAAATCAAGAGAAAGGAATTACAGCGTAAAGCAGAACATATTACTAGTGTAGGGTGAGGGAGAGAAAAAAAGGGAAAAGGAAAGGGGAAGGGAAAAGAGAAGAAAATAAAAAAGAGAAAAAAGAGAAGGGGAAAGGAAATGGAAATAAGTGTATGTTAAATATTATAACCACTATAAATACTTAAAAATTTGATGAGTAAAGAGTTAACCCAATCTATGTTTTTTTTTTTTTATAATTCTTTATTTTTGTAGTGCAGTTATTAGGTACAAACAGGCTTGAGGTACCCCAACGGCATTCCTCGAGCTTTGTGACATATTTCAACAAGTGGGGTTAAAGTAGACAATGCACATTTTTATAAAACATGTACATGCTAAAACATTAAGCTTTTGTTAGTGTATGTTGCATTGAGATGACAGTAGTTGCTATGTCTAAGATGCTTTCCCAACCCTGTGCCGTAGAAAGCGGAGCGGTGGAGGTGGTACAAGTGGGCCCATGGTGTGGTATGTCAGCGTATGAAATGCCTGAGTGCGTGCTAAAGGTGTAGTGCCTGTACTCGTGTTTTGGAGGATTAACATAGAGATCCCTTCTGTTGCTTAGTGTCTGTGATGAGGGGTGACGTATGGTTTACACATTTTAAACAGGCTTATGTGAGTTCTAGTCTATTTTTCACTGACAGGCTAGGCAGTCTGACCAAGCTAGGTGCATATGTATATTGGGTTACTCCATCATGTTAGACAAACATATTATGTTGAGAGCGATTATAAATTAGGCCACTCTGGCCAGCCAGGGAGACAGATCATGCCAAATATAAAAAAAAAAAAAAAACGAAATTATATCTTAGGCTATTCTGGCGGGCTAAGCTAACGCTTATGTTGAATATGTTAAAGCAAAACATTTATGCCTTAGGCCACTCCGACAGGCCAGGGTGACATCTAGCTAAAGCCAACTGTATTTGCAGTTATTCTGGTGAGTCAGGGATCGGCAGTGTCCAAGTCCTGGTGGTTGTCTCCATTATTTTATCAGGGCAGGCAGGGTTCTGGTGGTAGCCTGTGGCATCCCGCCTCTGCGCGTTCTGTGCCGGCTGTCAGCCCACTCCATTTCGAGGCTGGGTTGTAGAGTCCTTCGCTGCAGGGGAGACGACCAGAAAGGAGGCGGCAAAGTAATGGTGTCGGGTGGGCTCACGCTTCTCCGATGTGCTGGAGCGGTTTGTGGGCTGAGAGGTGCTCTGTCGCTGGTCGGATGTCCGTATGTAGTGCGGCGTCTTCATTGCTGGTCGTGGCGCGGTGTGTCGCCATCTTGGTGCAGGGTGCATGGTGCAGCATATGGTATGTGAGTCTTGCCGATATCGACGCACGTGGCGTCCGCCATCTTAGGTAGGGTGCCCTGGATCAGGCTGCTGATGTTGCTGGGCCCAAGCTGCCTTACTGCTTTCGGTGTCACAGGGTGGGGACCGGGATCACCCCCGCCGGTCCAGAGGGGGGGGAACAGGGCCAGGTCCTCGCCGGTCCGGACCTCCGGCCGGGCACTGTCAGGCAGGATAGCAGGGCAGCGGCCGTCCGCCCCGCTCACCGCCGAAGAAGGCCTCATCTGGAGTGGCAGTTTCTCCCCCAGGGGACTGCAACTCTGGGAGTCAGCCTCTCCCTGGGTCCAGTGGTCTCAGCACACAGAGGATTAGTCCTGTCGGTCTGCTATCCCAGGGTAAATCATGCTTTAAGGGCTTATAGAGTGGGAAAGTGCAGGAGCTGAGGTAGCTTGCGACCATCCAGCTCGGCGGTCCGGCCCCGCCCCCCCCCAATCTATGTTTTAGTGTTCATAGAAGTTTGAATGAGTGTGAGATAATCAGAGGAAGGATAGACACATTACTGAGAACAAGAAAATCTGTACTGATGGTTTTAAAAATGTACTAAAACAGAGTGATATATTATAGATAATAATTCAAAGATAAAGTTATCAAAGCCATAATATATCAATAACCTGTGTAATTGTTGAAATTAAATCTGAAGAAAACTAGTAACAATGATATAATGTAATAAAATGTATAGATATATGAATATGAATAAGTTATCCTTCTGCGATCAGGGTATGACTTTTTTTTGTTTGATTCTAAGTAGAATCATTGTTCTTTTTTTTTATGTCTATTTGTATAAAATGTTAAAAAAAAAAACTTCCAGTTATTTAAATGTGCATAAGGTTTGGAATAGGGCACAAGTAACTTTTTTCTTTGGTTTTTATTGTATGTATTGGGGCAGATGTATACTATAGTCATTTCTGCTACCCTGCAGTAGTGGGAGTTTAACCACAGGGCTTAATTTTGTATGTTTGTTTTTGTATGACACAGCCATGTTAAAGTGCTGCTGCATTCCCTATTAAAGGGACTCTCCAGGCAGAGTAGTTTACTCACCTGGTTCCAGCGCTGGGAGCCTTGTGAAGCCGCGCCCCCTATTTAGTCAAAATGACGAAATAGGAGGGCGCGAGTAGGGAGCAATCAGATGCGTCCATTTGGAAGTGTCGTTGCTCCCTTGTGCGCATGCACGGCTAAGTATGTAGGGTTTTATAAAAATACCCCTCTCTGTCTCATTAGAGATTTTGCTCCTTGCTGAAGACAGCAAGGTGAATTATGAGTGTAGGATGATACTAAAAAAACTCAAGTTATTTAAAATTGCATAGGGATTTGGGATAGTCTGCAAGTAACTTTTTTCTTTGCTTTGAATTGTAAGACATGCCTGGAAAAAAATAATTGAACTAAACAGTAAAACATAACTATGAACAAATATCCAGGGCAGGTAATATGTAGAATTTGTCAGGATAATCTGTACAGTATACATTATAGATTATATTATCCACTGTTCTAGTTGTCCGCTCTTTAACTTTCTCCTTTAAGTGTTCTGTGCACCCCACTATGTTTGCATGTCTGACCTGATTTCCTTCGCCATGGTAAAGAAGTCGCCTGGACAGAGAACTTCAGAGTTCTGTCAGCATTTGATGCACCAAGAGATATGTCGTTGGTGCGTCTGGGGGGACTGATGCTATGTAACTCTGTTCCGAGTCAGAGGAAGGGGATGGTAGCTTATCTGTGCCATCTTGGACATGCAATCGTGGAGGAGAGAGCACAGCTACTTAAAGGCCTGTCGCCCTGGATTTGAGTTTCTTTGCTGTCCTGCTAGACATTTTGCAGACTGGGCAGGTTTTGGTCACTCTAGTGTTACTATCATGCTCTTTTTAGAAATAGTTATAACTGATAGCCATGCCGAGAACGCCACTTTTCTGGAGAGCTTCAAGCATATGTGTCCAACTTAATCAGTTGTCAGGCCACTCCATCCAGTTTTCAACTGTATTTAACTAATTGAAATTCTCAAATTTTGTTTGGTCCATGGATATTTCTGGTGTCTCCATTATACCTCTAAATGTTGTGACAATATAATGCTACTTTCTAAACTGCTTTTGTATGAATAGATTACAATAAGCGTATTATTATTATTTATCCTCAGTATGATACCACAGCAACAGCAGTTATTATGACAAGGATAAACACAAGAGAGAAGTATGTACACATGTTAGATGGTGCAGACACAATAGAAAGCAGGTCAGAGATTACCTTTTCTTCTGTAAAGTTCTGTCATTTCGATTAAAAACTTAATTTTTGCTAATTTAAATGTAGATAATATTTATTAAAAAGTATTGTTCTGTTATTTATTTATCACATCACTTCTACAATTAGGTCACGAGATTGACCTTTGCACTGTAGATTTCTACACAGATCTAATTATTACTGTCTGGCCAGACAGGAGAGAGTGCCTGATTCAGCTTCATGATAAGCAGTGCTAGGGTCATAAGTAGAGAAGATTACAGTAAAAGTGAGACACAATTTTCAGAATGCTGTGCACTGTAAAAACTGATTGAATAACCTAGTCCAGGCCACCATCAGGGACAGACCCAGGCACCAACCAATGAGTTGTTACTATCCAATAAGAACTTATTGGTCTCTTTCTGTCTTCTACATCTACATTACTTTATAGAGGGTTAAAGCTCCCACTTTTGGGCAGAGCAAGCCGTGGGATCTGCATGAAGAGCTTCACCGTTACCAGACTGCCTTTGGACATTTTAAGACAAGTCTTTATTTTCTCCTGTCTTCATATTGTTCTGTTTTTATTTATTCTAATTGCAATTGGCTGAGGTCCAAAATCTGTATGAGGAGTTCTGGAGCAAACAGGGAGATCAAAACGTCTCCCTGATTAGCTCTGTGTTCCCTGGACAAATGCCAAGTGGAATGCTGGCCTTTAAGCATGTATGGATTACTACTCTGCCCTCAGTCCAGAGAAGTGCTGGACTGCAAGCCACAACCTTGTTTCTAGTTCCCACAGTTGGATGGTGGCTTTAACAATGTTTTTATATGATTGATGTCAAACTGGTGACCTATGATTTTGATAGACTAAAAACTCCTAATATTGATTCAGGCTATGGAAGACATGAACATTTAGAAATTGTTACTCCATGAACACTTCCATTGCTTTTGCTCTTTGTAGATAATCTGTTCCCATTATCAGTTTTGTAGAAGAAGTGAGATTTTAATTTATAATTTATTTCATTGGAACACTGCCTTGATGTTGTCTCCTCATCCTGTGCTGGAGATAATTTCAAGGCAGGCTTGTTGCCTCATAGCCATTCTTTATGTGTGTGTAACATTTGAGGGAAGTGTGCAGTTGTCACCCTTACAACAGCTCTATGTAGGGAACTAGGACCTGATATTTTTTATTTGGAGATGGTCTACGAGGTAGGAATAGGTGGACTATATGGGACAGGGAAGAACTATACAGGATGAGGTTAGGAAGCTAATTTTCCTCTCTGATTTGAATGAAAATCGTATTCCTAAATGTATCTGTGAATGTGTCTGCATGTATGACTGATTGTATATCAGCCATAAGCCTTGATTTAATATTGTTGGATAAGCTTTTAAAATGATTTAGTTTTAAAAACATTTCAATTTTGTAATATTTTGATACTTTTTTTATATGTTGGCATATTTCTTTATATATAGTATATTTTTTAATATTTTAGTATTTTGAGAAAATCTATTTAAAAGTTTATGCAAAAATATTAAATAATTTGAAAAACTTAGCAAACTAAATTAAGGCTTTTATTCATTCTTAAAGGAAAAAAAAATACTACATGCAATATCAATCAGCTCCAATATTGTACATATATTGGTTTCACATAATATGCTGAGAATCAGTAGCTTTTGTGCATATTTTGTAAGACATATATGTACAATATTATGTACAATATTGGAACTGATTCATATTGCATGTAGTTTATATGTCATTTCCTTTTAGAGCATGCTATGCTGGTGTTTGATATGGTTCTTTTTGTATCAAGTTGTGCTGTGCATCAGTAAAATTGTGTGATTATTTTCTTGTATTTATACTTTTAATAAGATTGTGTATATTTTATGTTTTATAAAATTAGTTTGCATAGGCATTTAGTCGAACATCTAAATGCAGAAATAACGCTACATACCATCACAGATGTTAATATTGCTTTGGAGTGGATACGATCAACTTTTCTATACATCCGGGCTCTGAAGAACCCCTCTCATTATGGTATGTATTCACATAATGTGACATTTCATTATACATTGACAAGACAAAATTAAGCTGTTATTGTTCTGTAATTACCTTGTTTTTTGTTTTTTTTATAATTTGAGAAGGGCATTTTTTTAAACATATTAGAATTACATTCATTTTGTAAAGGAAATGTCACATTATGAATATGCAATGTACATTCTACAACTAACTTCAGAAAACATGGAACATTGAATTCAAGTTCATAGCGGGTGACAGTTTCATTAAAGTGAATCAATATGCAACTTATATTTGTAACATATTGAAGTTCCATCAGGTGATAAAAAAAGCAACCACAATTTGTATTAATATTGAAATTGATACAAAATGAATGTGTGCACAGTTGCCATCTACAAAAGTTTGACAATTTCTTCATTTTTTTACATTAACAAGAAAGATGGCTTTTTATTGGATGAATATCTTCATGGTTCTCTTATGAGCTTCCATTATGACTAATACAACCTTCTTTGCAGCCTTCCTGTTTAAATGTGTGTAACTAATTTCCAATCTAAACAAAATCCTGATGTCAAGCCATTTTCCCTTCACATCATAACTTTTTTTGTTTGTCCACTCTGCAAAGCCCTACTTTAAATCCTATCAAATCAATGTATATAAGAGCAATATGGGAGGTAATTTCTTATGTACACATCCATGTGTTATATTTTAAATACATAGCAAACATGATTCCACCCATCCCCGCATTCATGCAAAGATAGAGAGTTCCATACTTGATATTTTTTAAATAATCCCATTCATAGACAAATATAGAATTTTGCTCTTTTGACATCATTTGACCTAACAATGCCTTTCCAATATTTAACAGCAATACCTTATACTCTATGTGCTTTCAAAGACCTGACTTAAGCCTTATAGCAATATATTTGCTAAGCACCCACACATTTTATATTATTGCTATATATCGCTATCAGATTTATAAATGAATATCCTTACTTGCCTACTAGGTCAGAATAGTTCTGCCCTTCTAGACTTGTCCTTTCTTTATAGCAGCCTGGTGTTAATAAAGCCGATTATTAATTTATTATATATGTCTAAAAAAAGCAACACGGTAAACTTGATTAATACACTTACCAATTATTGTAATCACCATAATGCCAATATATCTTTTTTTTGATTTAGTGTAATTTAGGTTCTGGTGTTTAATAATCCATTTTGTAAAAGTATAAGTACATTTTAAAAACAAACCATAAATTCAGATATATTGTAACTTTTATTTTTACTTAGTTAACATTTTCTTGCTATATTTCAGGTTTTTCAAAAGGATTAGACAAAATGGGAATTGAAGCAAAATTGCAAGGTGTGTGAAAGACGTTTTCTTAAAGAAGATCTGTCACTTCCTCAGTTTTAGCACAAGACAATAGTTAACTAAATTTGACTATAGTTTGTACTAAAATTATTTTAAAATTCTTTATAGTTTATTTTATTTAAATTCACATTTCATTTTTTTCTGAACACAAATGTACCTTTATGCAATTCAGAATACTTGCAGTTTTATAGGCAATTCTTTTTGTCCAAAATTATGCTTTTAAAGTGTAGTCTTTAATATATCTTATTTCCAAAAATAGAAACAGATTGAAGATATAATATTATACTACACCTTGAAATTTGTATAATTCTATTTAATTCATGTTGAAGTGGTTGTTTAAAAACTATGTATAAATAAAAATACACTGCGTTAATATCATCTGCCAAAAACAAAAAAAAGAACTAATTTTAAACAACAAATTCAACATTATGTTGTGGAAGTTTAGAACATGTGATTTTTCTTTTGTAAATAATGCATACCCTTCCATATAGTCTAGTTTTTCATTTGTCTTTTAAGAATTTGCTATTATCTTATTTATAATATTGCTAGGTGCAAGTTTGCATTGATTTCTATTTCTGTTTTATAAATATGTTTAATACTCAGAAACAGGTTTTAATACCGTTTTTTTCTCTAAATCTTGTGGTAGTATGTTTAGACCAAAAAAATACAAGTATCTCAACTTTTCCTCCAAGAGTGAAAAGTAAGCAAGTTACTGTTTTTAAAATGCAGTACTTTTTCCCAAACTAAGTTTTGATTGTAAAATAAGAAGAGTCTGTTTTATGTTTTGTATCTTTTTGTAACAGAACTTTGTTTGAAAAATTTGAATGATTTATCTTCTGTGGGATTAATTACGATGGATGAAGAGATAAATTTTAAGCCAACAGGTAATGTTATTTTCTAAGAATAGCATGATTTCCATATCTCTCAAAATATGTTATTGACTGATTTCAAATAGTAATATTCTCATTCCCATATTCAGAAATTCTCACCAGCTTTGCTCTCTGGGGAATTCCGTCTTCATTCATTTTTACTCTTGTTCACTTGCTTTGCATTATTCACAAAATCTAGAATTGTGGAGACTTGATAAGATTGTAAATTTAGACCAAAATGTTTAGGAGCTGTAGAAAAGCTGTACAATTTGCCAAATTGGAAAAATTTTCCTATTTGTATGTTTTATCATAAAATGTGCAATAACCCCATTTATGCCTTTGGAAATCTGCCTGTTCAAAGAAGCCTATCAGTCATTTTCTAATAAAGACACTTATTCACTAGATTACATTTAGAATGTGTAGTGATTGACCACTGAAATTTTAGGTCAAAATAGCCAAATTAGAAAATATCACCAAATCAGTTATTCTTATTTTAAACTCAATTTTACACTTTGTGTGATAGTTTCCAATAATTCCTAGTTTAGTAAAAGAACCATAGTCGAGCACAATTTACTGCTGAAAATTATTTCTTTCTTTTATTCACTGTACTTAACATGGTAAGAAATGTGTATACAGTTTTTGGAGTATGGATTAATTCCTCTACCACCCGTGCAAATATATTATTGGGAGTGAAATGATTAATAATTACAGACCATCATAGTGTGGTCCATAACACGTTATGTCAGCAAAGGTTTTTAATTTTTTTTTAATTATGAACAGCTTTATTGTACTTACTAAACTAACTGAGTAGGACATTCCAAATCTGAGTAAAATGTCTAAAGACCAGATGATCAGTTAATATCTTTCTAACGACTGAAATGCAGTGCCTTCCAGCTTCCTCTTCATCGCTAATAAAATAACTAACACCATATGATGAGTCTTCCAAGACTTTTTTTTACTTGCATATCTTTCATAGCCATGCATTTCTTCGGAATGTTAGACTGAGGCATTTATCATGGTGTCAGCTGACCTCCTTGATTTTTTTTATCTTTTTTTGGGATGCACAGTGTACAAAATTGAAGCAAACTGACTCTTAGTGTAATCACAAAATTAAAAGAAAATTGTGACATGTGTAAGGCAACAAAACTTACCAAGGCTCAATAATTCTTACAAATACATAACAGCAATTGTTTCTGACAACTGCATTAAAAACCTGATAATTGTAAATCCCTATCTAGGATGACAAACTACCATGAATTTAGCTAAAGCTTACTGTATGAGTAGATGATCGCCTCCTGTCCTTACATAAAATTAAGATTATTAGTACACTAAAGCTGGCATAATTTTTAATAAAGGATTTAATAAAGTAACCATTACATTGGTAGTTAAAAATTATGCTAGCTTTAGTGTACTAATAATCTTAATTTTAGTAATGACAGGAGGCTAATATTTTGCATAAACTGCCTTTACTTACTCTATAGCAGCAAAGAACATATAAACAAAGAACCAATCAGAGATAAGAATAGGATATAACAAGCACCACACACTGAGGTACTTCCTCTTAATAAAGCGGCATCACAAGTCACATATAACAGTATTTATCAATAGTAGAAATGTAACATCCATGTAGTCTCCAGTAGAACGAGGAAATCATTACAGTCACATTCTAGAGGAGAACTAGTAACCACCGTTTTAGGTCCACCAAAGGAGATGTTCGTTGAGCTGAATTAAGCTGAAAGAGAATGTAAAAGGTTTTAATCATATGGAAACTTAATTGTGAACAAATAAGTGTCCATTATAGTATACATTACATAAACACTAAACTATCTATCTACTATATGGTAGGAAAATCTATGTTAATCTAAACACAGTCTAGGAACTATAACGGTTATAATTCCAGAAAGGAGAGCAGATATATACTATACAGCTTATTGGCTAAGTAAACTGGGAGATAATAAGAGTACTGACAACCAATAATTCAAGAACCCAATACAGACCCAAATTCATAAAACCTACCGAATGTAACTAACTATCTGGAATATATTAAAGGGAGGGATCTGGAAAGAAAATAAGCAGGGAGAAATATTCACGCCTCATGCCATTACTAAAATTAAGATTATTAGTACACTACAGCTTGCATAATCTTTAATTTTACCACATGAAAGGAGGCTTCATAATGTGCAATTTTAATGCTACGCTATCAGCGAAAAGGCAGCATTAGACGGTGAATGAAAACAGAAAGTCCTAAACCTAGTTTCACAAGACTAATACATCGCCTGAAAGGCCGACAATGCGGCCGCACCCCTAATGGAGTGTGCGCGAAGCAATGGGTCAATACCAGCAAGGGAGAAAAACCACCGGACCCATCTGGACAAAGTACTAACCAAAACCGGTCCATGAGGTTTTACATAGGAAATCAACAATTGTCAGGAGGATGACGAATTTAGAGTATTTGTAGCCGTCACATAAGCCCGCAACGTTGATACCACACAGATGTGGGGTTCCGATGGAAAAAATGGAAAAAAGACCGATGTTAAATCCGATTTACTACAATGGAAAGCATGAAAAGCGATGCCTTCTGGAGAAAAAATTGTATATTTGGGCACCAGTGGTCGTTGGAGCCAAATACCACAGAGTAAGGATCTTCATAGGTTTCCATTGAACCAGAACGTGGGCAGCTGAAATAGATGAATGAACCACATTAATGGAATGATGCGACTTACCATCTGAAAAGAGGAACGTATGTGAATATATAGAAAACAATGGAATACAGCTGTATAACCAAAAAGTTACAAATATAAAACAACATAGTGTGATATAGTATGAAGAAATGTTATTAATATTAATATATTTATATATTTTTTTCTTCTCAAATGAAAACATTTTATTGTGTAGATTATTTATTTTCTTCACGTATTAAGAAATGTTATTAATGTGTATATATATATATATATATATATATATATATATTTTATTTTTTTTCTTCACATATGCATTATTGAAAAATTGGTGTGTACTTTATATTTGGTATATATTTTTAAGATTATTATATTAATAATTACTTAAATTCATTCACACATAATGGTTAAGGATTTTTTTTTTATTTCAAATATAATTATCTAATGCAAAATGTGAGGCAATATGTTATTTTTTGCGAACTCTACTTCTAACCAAGATCTCCTTGTAGTGGTTGTTCTTTTTTTTTTTTAACATCAGAAATTGGTATTTAATTTGTATTTTCTTTGTCTTTAAAAACGTTAGTATCAAATACCAAATCATCATTTGGTTTGTTTATTCTAATTCCATATTATCTTTAAGTATTGTGGAGAACTCGATAGAATTATATAGATAGCATTCCTAGGGAATTTTATTTTTACTGAAATATCTTACCATCTTGTGAAATTCCCCAACATTCATTCCATAACCACGTGCATACTATATTTAATTGCTATATTTAATTATGCAAAAAACATAGGATCAGTCTCTCTCATTTATAAAACCATCCATACACTCCTCTTACACTCTAGGTCACTGTCTGTGGGGATGGGGTAAAATCTTCTAGGTCGACACTGTGAAATCACTATTCACCCAGGGATTCCATATGCTATGATACACCTCAAGGTGGCCAAGATTAGTATGAACCACTTTTTCCATCAGACTTTGATAATTCACCTGAGTTTGGATCTCAGTACAGCAAGGGATTATAGATGTTTTCCAGCATCTAGCGATACATATTTTTACTGCCATCAAAATCTATATCACCAGCATATGTAAAAATGTTTTATTGTTAAGTAAGTCTAGATGGAAAAGAAAGGTATGAGAGGTTATTCGGAAAGTAGTCTATAATTTTACCAATAACTCTTTCCAGTTTATTTTTTAAAGGCTTTATACATTCCCACCATATGTGATTATGTGTGCCAGGATTCAAGTTACATCGTCAACATATATTTTGAGTTTTCTTTTGAAACTTAAATACTTTAACAGTGACCATACACCATCGGTGTAAAATTGTAATATAATTTTCATAAATGATAATGTTATGTATTGTTTTTTTGGTTAGCATGAATGCTTTTGCCCATTCTTCATTTGAGAATTATGTTTCAATTTCCTGTTCCCATTTCATGATACTTTTTAGTTTCCTTTTAGGTTTATGTTTATATAGTATCTTTATTTTTGAGATTAAGTTGTTGTTCCCCACTATCGAGACTATTTTATCAAAAAGGTCTATAGCTATTGATTTGTTTATCAGGATGTTTTTTATTTTAAGGTAGGTTAAGAATTCAGTTTTTAAAGGGGTATTTCTTTCCTGTATTTCTTGAAAGGATTTTAAATTATGGTCTAATAAAGGATCTCCCAAAGGTTTAAATCCTTAGTCTTTCCATTTGCTTAGATTTATATCTGAAAGATATCCCTTATATAGTACATCTATAGGTGCCGAAATTTAGACATTATTTTCAATTTTATACTGTGTTTTTAAAAAATTCATAGACCTAAATAGGTCTACTAGAATTTTATTTTGATCAGTCAGCTTTTTAAAAGCTGTATTTCTAACCATATTTTACATGGAGGCTCTAAATGTTGTAAAACCTGATTTTCCATTTCTATCCATGCTGTTTGGTCTAGATTTTTAAAATTTGAAGCTAGAAGATGCATGATCATAATTGCATCGTGTTTCATGAATACATCTGGAAATGAGACTCCTCCTTCATTTTGTTTATGACAAAGTATTTTGTGAGATGTTCTTGTTTTTTTTTTTGTCCCCATACGAATTTCAGAAAAGTTTCATGAAACTCTTTCAGGATCTTTTTTGGGTATTCTCAGTGGAATAAAGTGCATTACGTATTCGAGTTTAGGTATAATATAATCTTTTATTACACTAATTCGCCCCAACCATGAAATATATAATGGTTTCCAATTGGATAATGAATTTTTCTATTTCTTGAAGAAGAGAGGGCTAATTATTCTGAATAATTTTATTCCAATTAAATCCCAATCGGATTCCCAGGTAATCCAAAGATTTGGCAGTCCAGTTACATTTATATTTCTCTTTAAAAACATTTAGCTCTAAACATGTTATATTGTAATATATGGTGTAAGATTTAGTCAAGTTAATTCCATAGTTTAATATGACACTAAAATCGTTTATACACATAAGTGTAGCCGGAATTGGTACCTGAGGGCTAGCAAGAGTGACGATTACGTCATCTACATAAAGTGAAATTTTGTATTGATGATTATTTTTTTTAATTCCCATTATCTCTTCTGATTCTCTAATCATTGTGGCTAGGGGTTCGATAGTAAGGATGTAAAGCATAGGGTCAAGAAGACATCCTTGTCTTGTCCCATTATTTATCATGAATATATCTGAGTCTAATCCCCCACCACAAACTTTATGCAGATGGAGATGTATATAGGCTCGTTATTCGTTCATATGTAGTGCCTTGAGTCCCAAAGACGTTTAGGACCTCCGAAAGGTAGGGCCAACTAACTGTTGAAGGCCGTTTCTGCATCAAAAGCCACAAATACCACAGGATCTATGTTGCTATTTACTTCTTGTATCAGGTTAAAAATTTTGCGAATATTATCGCTTGCACATCTATTAATAACAAATCCTGATTGATCGTGATGGATCAATTTAGGTATCACATTCTTCATTCTTTCCGCAAGTATCTTTGAAAATAACTTAATATCAATATTTATGAGAGATTGGCCGATAATTACTAACAAAATTAGGGTCCTTGCCTGGCTTTAAAATTGGAATTATATTTGTCTGAAGCATTTCTTGAGGAAATTCCATCTGCTTACTAATCCCATTAAATAGTTTGTCGAATATCGGCAATGTCAAAGGCTCAAATCTCTTCTAAAACATTGCGGTATACCCATCTGGGCCTGAGGTTTTTCCTGATTTTTAGTTTTTAATATTCCTTGAAATCTCCTCCAATGTTATAGGAGCATTTAACTCAATAAGCTTTATACTATCTAATTTTGGAGGTTTATGTTTTTTTTAACAAGTCTGTCGCCGCTGTTGATGGTAAATTTGGGGCAGGTATGTTGTACAATGATTTATAGAAATCTCCAAATGCTTTGCTTATTGAATCTGGGGAAAGATGTACCTTATTACCTTCTACTATTTTCCTAATTGAGGTTAATGTTTTCTATGATTGTAACTTATTTGAGAATGGTTGACCCACCCTATTATCCCCCTAGTACCAATACTGGTTAGGTTTCAGCATTACATTTGATGTTTTAAGTTCTAATCTGTTTTTTTTTTTTTATCTCCTTTTGGAGATTTCTTATTTGAGTTGTTCTATATATTGTTGTATTCTGTTTGTTTTCATTTTCAAGCTGTGCCAGAGAGATATACATATCTGTATGGTTTGCCCATGTTTCTCTTATTTCGGATCTCCATTTTGATTAAAACTCCTCTTATATAGCATTTAAATGCGCACCATAAGGTACTTATCTTGACTTCTTCATTATCATTGAGTTTAATGAATTCCCTAATCTGGCTCAGTAAAAATCTGCAATTCTCTGCTGATTTCAAGATATTTTCATTTAATCTCCACTGATATCTATTTCCAACCTTGTATTTTTCACTAATCTCCAAGGTTATTGGAGCATGATCTGACCAAGACATAACGTCTATCTTAGATTTTTCAAACAGTCGTATATTAGGAGAATCTGTAATAAAAATAACTAATCTCGAACAGACTTTATAAACTTTGGAGAAAAA